ATATTTTTCTGAATGCAGAGATTCTACTCGATCGACTGGTGTGAAGAATTTGATATGTTACTGGTCATGGGGGTTTGAAATTTTGAGCACCTCAGAAAAAGTTCAAGTTATGATGGTGTGAAATTTTGAAAATTTTCGAAAAATTTTTTTTCGGGTTTTTCGAGTTATGCACGCGTGCACAAGGACACCTCTCATAATAATCTTGATACAATCAAGCCTACCATCTTCTCAGGTTTGCCCGGAAACATTTTAATGTTTATACATTGTTCGATCGGGCAGAATCTCTTCTTTCCAATGTTGGAAATCTTGTTGAGAAATTCCCACTCTACGAGGAGATAGAGCAATTTCTGTGATGCTATACGGGTTAGCCCATTCAAGCCTACCGTGCCCTCTGTTTTGACCAGTAACATATCAATTTGTTCACACCAATCAATCGATCAGAATCTCTGGATTCACAAAATCATATATTTTGTCGGGCGATTTCGCTTGGTTGAGGAGGTATGGCTGTTTTATTAAATCTATCTCATCTAGCGCTGAATTTATTTTGTTGGATTATTTTACTTTCCTGAGGTAGTGTAGCCATTTTCTTGAGATATATCTTAATTCAACAGCGCAGTCGCGCCCATTCATACACTATAGGGCAATCAATGCGTTCATATTAGCAATAGGCGGATTGCGGTCTTCGAGCTAACCGTCTTCTTAGGTTTGCCCGGAAACATGCGAATTTCTTTTCACTGTTCGATCCAAGAGGACCTCTAGATTCTGAATAGTATAAATTTTACTGTCCAATTTGGCTTAGTTGAGGAGATACGGGCATTTTATTAATGTTACCTTGGGTGCCACCTTCAAGGCTACCGTAAGCTCAAGTTTGCCCTGTAACATCTGAATTTTTTTGCATCAGTCGATCCAGCTGGATCTCTTCATTCAAAAAAAAAACAGACATTTTGTCGGGCGATTTTGCTTTCCTGAGGAGATATAGCCATTTTTTAGATCTATATCAATTACATAGCGCAGTCGCGCTTAATCATACAAATTGATCACTATAGAGCAATCAACTTTCGATAGACATCCTTATGGAATTACAGCTAGTTGATGCGGAGTAAACTGATCATCTCGATCGGTGCAGAAATGGTTCCGATTTGTTGAGGTAGTTCATTCCTTTGTGTCTTACACACAATGTGTGCAGTATACAAGCTTCGGACATGTAGAACAAGGAGACGGTACTTGGTCTAACGAATGGAAATGAATTTTCAAAAATTATGAAAGCCATCAGTTCCAACCACATTGTTGGCCTATAGATAAGTGCATCGGCGAGATATTGGACACACTGTATATAAAACACAAAGACAATTTGGGGTTGGAATGAACTACCTCAACAAATCGGAACCATTTCGGCAACGATCGGGATGATCAGCTTACTCCGCATCAACTAGCTGTAATTGGATAAGGATGTCTATCGAAAGTAAACGCTTTCTCTCGATATTCACTAACGATCAACACTGAAATATCCATAAAATGCATCAGTTTTTTGTTCTGCAGATGATAACATTGAACTGAATATAAGAGCAGTACCATTAAGAAATCCAATGGAACAGTTTCTGAAGTTATGATTAAAATCACTTTTTGAATTTCATAGAATACCAAGAGGTAATTTCCAGTGATGATAATGATAAACGAAAATGATTCGACTGTTAGTTTATGAGGTACGAAATGGTGCGAAATTTCAGAAAGTGTTGCACACGACCGATAACTTCTTATGCTAATTGTGAGGCATAAACTGAGGCTTCACCACCTTCATTCAAATTTTGCGACACGCCATAAGATTTATTTATTTGAAGTTTGCTCGAATGTGATGCTCTTGTTGTTTGGATGCGATGAGTGTTAATTCGGAAATGTGTTGAGTTTGAGAATGTTTAAACTGTAAAATGTTTCGGTTCCTTTCCCTAGCGTCCGCAATAAGACTGTCTCAACTAATAGTCATTTGCCCTCATGTAGCGAAGCTAACGCCAAATGAGGTAAAAGTTTTTAGCGATATAAATGCTAATTGAATAATAGAGTACTTCTGTAGTGACTCGAACGTTAACTGAATACAACGTTTTACTTTTGAAGTAGAATTGATATAAGCCACAGCAAAGAATGAAAAACGACAGTTCTGAACAATACCGATAGCAAAAACTATAAATTAGATAGGATAGGAACATTAACAAAGATTACAATAACAACAAAGGTCATGAAAACACTCAAGCACGTCAGATAGTCGATATCAGTAACACCGCAAACGTTTCTCTTAGCTGATGAGGTTCAAGATATGGTCACACACGGCAATGCATAATGAGTACATGGCGTAGGCCGGCGGGCACGCGCTACACTCCGCCGTTATGCGCCAGATCTCTTCTCAGGACACCTCAATAGAAATTCCGTTTTCAGAGTGCGTTCATCTTGGCGAACGCCAAAAATTGCAGTGCCACAGGCACTGTTGATTTACATTATCAGTAATACTGTACAAAGTGAAATTAGAAATAGATGAGTGTTAACTATCCGTATGAATTAACTCCTAAAACGAGGTATACTTTCTGAGTGCTGTACCACTCTGTGCATATCGTTCAATGAATGTTCCAATTCTCTCGCGAACCTGAAACAATTGTTGCAATGAAAGTAACTGATTTGCAAGACTATTTGTACAATATTTTATAGAGGAGAATCGAATGAAACAATAAATCAACCTATAAGAGCTTGTAGTTGGACAACTTTTGAATGTACAAATAGAGAAATGGATTTGTTCATCCTGAGGATTATAACACGACGCGTAACAATCCGGTGATGATGGACCATAGCACATCGTTATCAAATTTCTTGTCGGTACCTTAACAATTCGTTGAATATATTCAATCAACATCCGTTTAATAGAACTTCATCGATTTGAATTACATTCTAAAGCGAATGCTAGAAATTATTAAGTGATGTTTGTCAACCAAATTGAAAGAACAAACGAACCTGACTGGTGGACAAATTAAAATGCATCATTTTTTTGTAAGCATCCGTTGAAAATATCTTCGGTAGTGGCATATTCAAATCAGACGCTGCTAATTCTATTCCTAATAAATGGCGATCCATACCGTTACCATTCATGGCCTTGAATATTATCACTCATGAATACCGCAGCGAATGAATTAAAGATAATGGATTAAAGGAACAAATGACAAACGATTTCGATAGTTCGGAAAATTGAAGTGAAAACGAAACGGAAAGAGGCACCTGAACGGTGTAATGTTTATGCTTTTGAACGGCATATTTGAGCATGTGCATTAAGTCGTTGTCATCCGGCTTCTTTTTATCATCATCGGCATCGATCATTGCAGATGTGAATATCAACGACTCAACACTTGGCAATCGAATTGTATCCGTTCTTCCATTCAAATATTTGCGTAATGTTGCTGTTTCATAAGTTGATGGTTGTTTATGATGAATACGATAGTATGCTAACTGCATCGATAACTGTATGTAACTATCTGGACTTAATCCATGTAACTTTATTTCCTTTTTTCCGTATCCTTCGTACGTATACACAGAAATCTCTGTATCTGAGGCCTTCCTTCAAATATTGTTCTGATTTTGTTCAGCTGGTCAAGTTTCAGTGTTCTGTTTCTAATTACTGATTTCTAAAAGTACTGTTGAAGACTGTTATCCAATAACGAAACAAATTCTGGAAGTTATTTTGGTCATTTTGAAATTTAAGACGAAGCGGAATTGTAGGAAGTATGGAAATATGCATTCTCCTAAACAGTAAGATCTTATAAAACCACAACTACTGCATATGAAAACATGAATGTTACCTGAATAAGTAAACGAAAAAGCTGATAAATATTGCAATTGTCCGTGAATACAAACGATAAACTGATAAAAACGATTCAATCAATCAAACTAAGTGATGTATAAATTCCAGTTATATGGGATAAATGAAAGAGCTAACTCATTTGCATTTGATTTTGCCGCATCAATGACTTTGATCGCATCATCGAATAATTTGAAATCGATCATTGACGATGGTATTACTCCGCCATTTGCATCATGCCTTTCAAAGCTATCGTTTGTACTGAAAATATCCGCATGTTTTTGAACGATGAAGCATATTTGCGAAAGCCATCTAAATAATTCCTAGTGAATTAACAGTTGGAATTATCTTGTCAACGAAATGTGCATTCCTTGTAAGCTAGTATGGAACGATCCATTTTATCAGTCCAGTAATGAAATATGGAATGTGAACTTGAGACGTACAACTGGTCGCAAATGAATTCCATGAGTGACGCGACAGCAGGACCCTCGACAGGTGTATGCTCATAGTTGACACCGCAGTAACCATCAGTTCCGATAATAAACTGAATTTTTTAAGGTTATTCTAAAAAATGAACGTCATCGAGTCAATGAAACTCCACTGATTTTTATTCCAATGTAATTTTTCTATCGATCCAGTAATTCTTTGAAATCTTCTAAACAGAATTTGAGTGGAACTTATTAAAAGGATGGATACAGATATCACACGACTTCTTCATGTGCCCTCATCTAATCTCAGTACAGTAAATCATAATGACTTTCATTTGCATTTCGATAACTCCATTGAAGCAGTAATAATTCAGCGTAGTTCACCAAGTGATCATCACGTTAACCGCGATAAGTCAATAAATAACCTGCAGAGTCTTATCAAACCAACGATTATGTGAGTTATTATTGCATCCACCACCATGAAGACATTCCAACGATTGTAAATCGGCGGGCGTTACCCCAACGATATCATCCATTTTCTTATCAATGCACAGCACAAATAAACTATCTTCTACGCTCTTCAGACTTTCCAAGTTCGAGTCTAAAAATTCAATTTTTCAAAAATCATCCAAAGGTCCGTTCAGTTTGCAACAATTCATATTGTTTGCAACAATTTGTTATACTTTTATGGAAGATTATTATAATTGCAATGACAANCCCATTGTGTCTGTATAATAATGATCGTGTTGGTACTATTAAGTTAATGTATTCAAGGCCATAAAAGTGGAAATCAAAACAAAATTTCGATGCAAAAATTCAACCTTCGAAATGTGCGTAGAAAAACCCTCGAAATGTGCATTCTTGATGGAGACAAGAAAAAATAAAGAAATTTACCTTGGAGTTTAGAGTAAAGATCAGCCCACTTATCTCGATGCTCTGCTGTAACCACTCCCAAAGGATGTTCATTAACAATTTCGCTTGATGGAATAACACAACTTTTGATTTCATTTTTCAACTGGTCTAAACTTAATACATTTCCATTTGAATCAAATGCTGGTATACGGAATATCTGAAATAATTTTTTATATTTCCAAATTTTTGAAACTAAGTGCAGCTTACCAACAACTATCTTTCGTAAAACCATTGCCTATTTTTTGCAAGCTAAAATTTGGCCATGAAATTCACTATAATCAAATCGATGCTTCCCGGTTTTAAAAGTGTTTCTGAAGATTGACAACTAAATCAACATACATGTCCGTTACGCATAACAATGAAATGTTCCGAGGGTGTCTCACACTGATAGCCATATTTAATCTTATCTTTATTCAGTGATGGGATACGAGTCGTTCCAAACAAATTTTTGTATTGTCCCATGTCCAATAATTCATCACCCATTTTTTCTTGAGGTAATTTGTTACTGAAAATATTTCAAGAATGAAGGTTTAAGCTTTTTTTGATCATTTATTGTGGATGATCACGATTGACAGACATTTTGTGCCTCTGATGCTCCAGGCTACTTAGACTGAAATGATGAGGTTTGCAATGCAATAAATTTAACAAATTGATTGTTTCGTTTTATGGCTCAAATAATTTATAAAGAAATTGCCAAACTATTATTACTGCACAGCATTTATAATTGACTGAATGTCAGAAATCGTTCATCGTGCACTACTGATTAGTTACTGGATCATGATGCCATTTACGATAAGGGGATTGTGATAGCACATTAATCAATAAACTAACTTCTGGATCATCTTGTAAAAGATGAGTGCGGACTGAGCAACTTTCGCAGCTGCATCGATTTGCCCATCTAAATCGCAATAATTCCATTTTGGGAAAGAAACACCAGGATTTGAAACGATTGGCAAGGGGGTTCTTGATTCTAAATAAGCTTTATCGATCCACCATGGTGTTAGCTGAATCAGTTTGAAGGATTTGCGTCGAATCATAATTACAAACAAAGCCACCTCACCTCTTAATGCTACTCACCTCTTGACTTAAAGCTCCCTGTAACAACCCGTCTCTCAAAACAGTGCGATTTCGCACCTTCCTTCCCCATTCCCATTGAGTTGGAGGTATCAGTTTCAAAGGCTAAAGCCCATTTGATCTAATTTTAACTGAGGTTTGTCTATGAGTGAGTTCGTGAAGCTTGCCCAGGCGTTAAGTTATGCTTTGACTGAGGTATATTCTGGCCTAGCTCATGATATCGCTGAGCAGTGGCGCCTTACAAGGCCACCCCCTGTTAGTGCATCCGCCTTTCTTCAAAATATTTTTTCGCCCACATCTTCCACTTCGTTGAATTATATTGAGTAATTCGTATTACCACACTATCACCAATATAAACTAAATCAACATTTTCCAATGAAACTTCGAAAATTTTGAACGAAACTTTACGTTATATTCAAATCAAACCTTCAAGAATTATTAAATCACTGAAAATAATTACCCAGTTATCCATCTTCGCTGCTCTGCTTTCTAAGTAATCCTGAAGGATATCAGCTTCTCGACTGTGCATGAAGGTATTTGCTACCTGCAAGAAAAAACGCTGACATCCTGGGATGTCATAAATAAATCAATGATTATCGTGATGCCTTCGTTTAAAATCCCTACAAACTGCAACTCTAGAAGGGACTCACTAGCGCCTAATCCAAAACTCCATCACCTCATCTCAACCACTTTTGTGCTAAATGATAAGAAATCTGCAATTCACTGAATGCAGAAAGGGACACTTCCAGAAACAATCTTTGGTTCTTGAATTTCGAAACGTTTAGTTTAAGCATTCGTGGTTTTCAGTGGTTCTGACGTAGGCATATTGTTGAGTGGCTCGAGTGATCTAGTGATTAATTGTTGGCGATGCCGTTCAGCACACCATCTTCTCCCAGCTGAGCCCCAGATATGATGAAATACGTTTGCATTTGCATTTGTTGCGAGAACGGGACGAAGCGCAGTAATTTTTTTTTAAATTGATAAATGGCGTAAGATAACGTGATAGGCAGACTCGATAATGCGAATGGGGTGTTTTGAAGAGTGTTCAGGCTGAACAGTGAAAATATTATACTTGGCTAAGCGATCACAAAAACATTTGAGCTTTCAGATGACTGATCGGAGAATTTGGTATTGAATTGAAATAGCGATGAAAGGTGCATTGTACGAATAACTAGATGAAATATAAAGTTGTGATAATTTGAAATACGAATAATCATTTGGAAATTTAATGTTCGAACGTTACTTCGGCAAATATCCTTGTTTGGAATGAATAAAGCGCAGAGTTCTTAATAATTTAGCATAATGTATGGTTGAATGATTGATATAATAAGGTAACTGATCTGAGTTGATGAGGCGTTGGATTAGGCATTAACGTAGGTTGTTCAGAGAAACCACTATTTGGTTATTGTCGAGTCAACTTTTCATTCGAAAACAACTATTTTTTGGTAGTAACAATGAACATTATGTTTAAGAGACGTAATAAATTGACCATAAATTTTGATCTACTGTTGAACTGCTGATTGATTCAGCACTGATAATAGAAACATTAATGAAAATATTGCTTAAATGAGAGAAACTGATACCGAAACAGTCTGTTGATATTCGTGATCATTTTGGAGCGGTCTAGCGAATCGAATGAAATGTGTCAATGAATTACGAACCGTTGGTACAGGTTGTTTGGGCAGAGAACGTTTTGCTGAATTTTTTCATAGATTACGTTTAACAATTAAATGAATCTACAACGGATTTTTTTGTTTAAGTCATTATTTCATTTTATTTTTTTTTTAATGCGAAGTAAGATAAAAATGCAAAATTAAAATGCAAACAGAATGAAATGGTTTCTTTAATTCAATAAAAAATGCCAGAGAATTTAGATTGAAAGAATATAAATGTGATTGTCACGATACGAGAAACTTCATTTAGAATCAATTCAATGATTGCCTCTAGTAGAGAATGCAACAGATGAGCGAGCGATCAGAGGAGTGCTGTACTTTGCTAATCCATTGCCGGTTATTTCGAACAGCATGGAACAGCTACGCAACTGCAATGTAATCTGCATCAGAATGACCTTTACACATCTCATGATTGACATTTTTTGAAATTGTTTTGTGACACTTTTTTGAATCTTCACACCTCAGAAATGCCAATTTGTCAAGGTACTTTCATTCGTAAATTTACCGTATTCAATGTATATGCAGCTTAGGGTGACGAATCTTTGTGTGCGAAAAATGGAACGCTGAAAAATGTTTTGTCCTTTGAAAAATATATCCTTTGGAAAACAGTTTGAAAGGTAGCCAGGTCAATTCTTTTCGCCTTTTGTACCGCAGTGCACTAATTTCGACTACTGAAAGTTTGCTGGCTTTACCCTCCAAAATCATGTCTTTCCGACTGAAAACTACTTTTATAAAATTAGATTGAAAGGTTGCGCCGTCCACACTGTGCGTTTAGGTGTCATAAGCAAAAAAATTAACTCAGCGATCTTTCGGACTAATCTTTGAAGGCAAAGTTTTTCATCGATTTATTTCGAACGCCGGGACATCTTACATTTTGAAGGGTGAGAGCTTCGAGATAGTGAAATCCGAATATCGCACGCTGTGATACTTCAAGCGAGAAAGAAGTTGACCCAGTTACCTTGCAAACTGATTTCTTAAAGTAAAATTTCACAAAGATTGTTTCCAAACGGAAAGGCATACTTTTTCTGGTTGGGGATTATTGTAAGGAACTGCGAAATTCGGAAAACTGATGTTCTAATAATAGAGCCATTAAAAACTCTACAAGACCAGTACCGCTTTCATGAAAATACTCAACATTATGACAAAAGCGATACAAATCGTGAGAACAACACAAAGTTAAGAATGGAAACGTACAGCGGTTTTACGAGTGTATCTGAACATTATTGTAACGTTGAATTAATTCGATAAAGTTATAGTTGGGAGTGATTCGTGCAGTGGATTTGTTGATTGAAGATTTATCAGCACGTCTTCAGGAGTACCAAGTCTTGTTCGTTATCTATGGCCAAATATTTGTATGCTTGTTTCAAGTAGTTTAACTTCAATCTTGAGACAGCAAACAAACGTTGTTCAAAAACAAACCATTATCAATATCTGAAATACACCACAGGATTACATTCAACACGATTTGTTCAACCGATCAGCATTTATAACTTTTATGCGTTTACGCCTCTCTATTATCACCAATCACTAATATCACATTCTTCATTCCTTTCCACGCAGCTAATGACAACAGCGTTGGGAATCATTTGTCTTCATGAGATTCTAACTTCGAGCATTGTTTTGGCGAGCGCAGAGCTTTTGGGCTATTCTCCCATTTTGCCCAATAATTTCTAGAAGAGAGACTCAAAATAAGCCCGAAAGTACCCCTCGAATAATCGATTGAAAATACATCCAATGATCAATCAGAGTGGCTGTTTTTCAAAATCAATAATGAACAACGATTTCAAGTAATTTAACCGAATAAAACACGATTACGTTCATAAATAAAGAACTCATAGAGCACAAAAATTTGAGTTGAAAAACAGAATTCAATAATGAATATCATAAACGAGCAATGATGAGCGACTTTCAAGAAAACATGCTGCTTGCTAACAATAAGTTATTCACGAGCACAGCCACATGCAGAGCAAAACTTTCGTCCGAATTCTATTATTATGCGCATCAGTTTCACATCACTGCANAGTGCGCATCAGCTACAGATTACTGTGATCATGAAAAGAATTGAGTGGTTCTTTTATAATGAAAGAATGTCGCCGAGAAAATTATTTAATAGTAATTGTTTGGAGTGTATTATTTACATAAGTGAAAAGAGCTGTATTTATAGATTCGCTAAGGAACAATAACTTTTGAATCAACAATTCATCAAGATTGAGCAATGCAAGTGAGCAGAGAGAAATTCAAATCTTTGATGTCTTATAGAAAAGTGAAATCTTTCGAACTAGATAAATAACCGAGCTTCATCACCGAAACAAATAAAAAGAAGTATTATCTAGATCGCAATTAAATGTGTTTGATAGCTGGTTGAGCGAGAAGATTAAAATCAAATGAGCAGCACAACAACCGGATAGATCAATGCTCGAACAAAACAGAGATTATCGCTATCAAACCAAAATAAATGTTTTGGAAAATGCTTCAAATGTGTTTGTTGATAAGCAGTTACCTATTTCAACGTTGCAAGTAATGTTCATGATATTGTAACATTTCACATTTTACATGAACAACGTTATACTTTGAGTAACAGAGACTGTTTAAAATAAAAATTTACATTCGATTCATCCAACAACTTCACCAGTTCATAGTGTATCAAATCAACATTGCNAATGTAAAGCGAAACAAATGTGAAGTTCAGGTCGTACTTAGAATATTGGCAAGGATAACAATAATAGTAGTTTAATAGTATTAATAACAATAATACCGATGAGAATAATGACAATGTAATGATAGCAATAATTAACAAAGCCAACCAGAATCAAACTGTTCTCCTCATCTATCTAAAAATGATCCCTTCCCAAATATATACACATGCACCAACTCACTTCTCAGTCGTCCTCCCTTCAACTTATCATAAATTCTATCTTCCACTTATAATTTCAATATTCTTATCTAATTCCATCTAAATCGAATGCAAACGTCCAAAATTGATCGTAAAAAGCGATTGAACTTCCATAAACTGTGAATGCTCAAAGAACATACAAAAAGCATTCGATGGCGTGTAGCTCACTTGATTTACAATAACTTTAATTGTTATATAGCAAACAGTTTCTGCTATAATGCACCGTTATATTGGCACGAAGAAATTGATACTGAAGATTTACATACTAACCTGTTCTATTTAGAAACAATCATTTATATNCACTATAAATCATCATCGTTCTGAATTCATTTTCCGAAAGCATAAATTCTGAACTCATCTTGAAAAACAACTTTCACATTACATTATGGATAGAAGCATTATTATTCGAAGTGATTGTACGAAATGCATTCAATTTTTACATCAATAACTAACTATCAGCCGCATGATTTATGCTTTTATAATCGCTTGCTCTGTTCATTGCGATCATAAAACCTCTTTTTACAACGCAAATTTTATAACATTTTGAAATAAGATTGATAATTTGAGCATTACCATCGGTATTTATGCGTCACAATTGCTCATTCACCGACGTCACTTAGTCCAACTGAAAGCCATCAATTGCTGAACTCGTTATCAGTTTTTGTGCTGGTAAAGATAAGTTCATTTAACGATGATAACATCAACGGATTTCAAACTGAATGTGATTTCAAAATCTCAAAACGTTCGTGACACTCTCTGCAAGGGGAATTTCTTTCCATATGAGAATCGCTGCACTACAGTGTTAGTAAAAGAATACATTGTTTGAATCAATTACATCCAGTGAATAATTATGGAAGAATTAAGTTTAGAAGTACTGTGCCCCTACATGTATGTGAGAGCGTGTCGTATGATAATATAAATCAAAAAATTAATTCATGGAACAATCGCGCAATCACGTGTGATTTGAAAAANAGTGCTGAAAAAAAGACACGAATTCTTGAATATAGGAATTGTTATTGTACGTGCTTTATGTAAGTGTAATCTAGCTGCTGCTGCTGCTGTTGAATTGTATTGCAATCATCAAATGAATCAGACTAACCGAAATACAAATATTTTGGTCTGTTGGTAGAATAATTGAGCACGAATTCCGATTCATAAACACACATTCAGACTGATGATATATTTATTCTATACAAAAACACAGTTGTTGAACGAATGAACGCATTCTAATAGAAAATGTTTCGAGAAAGGTGCAATAACTCACAATAAAGTATGGCTGTAAATATTCGGTGTAAATACGAATACTTTTATCAGTAACAATACCCATCATTATTCTTTTTTCAACAACAATTGCTCTTATAATTCACATACATCCTTTATGAGAGGCCAACTGATTTGATCAAATTCAACACTGGAAAAGTGCGCATTTTTTGTTCGCCTGCATGAACCGATTGGAAGCAATCATTCCGCGAACCATTTTCACAATACTCGAAACATATTTAATTGGCGTAAAAAATGGCAGTAATCTACTCGAGAGGTTGAACATTCTCATGTGATAATTATATGTACGATGACGAATGCATAACACATGACATCAATAATAGTGTTTATTGTATTGATTTAACAACGAAAGAGACGTAAACACAAATATTGGAATAGTGTTGGATCACGGAAAGGGCGTTGGGTACTGCTTTTAGATGGAGTGAGTGTATCGCAGCGACCGATGATGCTTAGCGAAACATCAGTCAAATTTATAAGCCTTGCTCAAGTGAGGGATGGATACGTCAATGACGCTGAATTCTATTTGTGTTGGGGGAATCACCTGAAATTTCGATCGCATAGCACGTTTGAAAAGTGTTCGATGCCTGCATAACGCTTTTTACTAAAGCAGCTCATAATAACCGTAAATAATACAAACAGTAGTGCAATTGATCAGAAGAAATGATGAAATAAAACAGTGTTATGACTGTATCGAAGTAAATAAACGTCACGTGTGAATTTGACTGATTCAATCAGTTGGATTACTTTGATTGTTCTCTGAAAGTATACAGATAAAGTTTATTGTACAATAATTGATGGTACTTGAATTGATGATACTTGATAGCGTTGCACTGATGATACTTGATACGTTTGACAAGAGTCACATCACGTTGATGTAACACAAAAGTGAATGTACTGTAATGTTGTTGTGTTGAATAATCACTCGAAATTGGTGATTCTATTGAACGAAATAAAAATGATGACAATAACAAAAATTATTTCATATCAAAGAAACAGCATAAGAGTGTGCATTAAACTGTACCTACACGAGTTGCAAGCATCATTTAAACGAAAGAAAAACAACTGTTTATCAATGGAATCGAGGTAAACATCAAATTCTGCAGACATAAATATGCCCTACAGAGCGTATCGAAATTGATCATTCAATGAACATAAAAAGAACGGTTTACAACTTGTTTACTGCAAGACGCAATAAACACAGTAAAAGTACTCATAAAATGGCCATTAAACAACAGTTTTTTAGTATCGAACATAGTAAAACAGCAGTTTTTTCATTAACATAAGTACTCATAAAATGGCCATCGAATAAATAAAAGTCATAAAATTACAATAACATCGGAATCGTTTGAGCGGAACCCGCGCCAAGCACTGATTGTCAGGATTTTCGATAACCGTAAATCTGTTATGGAGCAAGCCAGTGAAAAAAATGTAGCTCCGATAATCGCTAATTCGCTGCAAAAGTATTTTTGTTCCATTGAAAGCAATCCGCTGACGGAAAAGTAGCAAATGCCTCTCAGTGAAACTGTCGCTAATCATACAAAGTAGCGTTAATCTTCGCTTGAACGCTACTCGGCAGAATTAGTCCGTTCCTGGCTACTTTCAAATCTTCCCTCAATATTTGAATGTAGCATTTGCTGTGGTAAGTAAAAATCAACTGGGATTTCATTTATTTACGTATTTATTTTCTCAG